AATGAAGGAGAGGACGAGAATCAAAAGGCAGCTTTGAAGTCGTCCATGAAGAGCATCTTAAAAAAAGCACAAAAAAGGGGGAATCTATGTGAGAGGCAGCGCGATAAGATAAGGCTGGTATCCTCTGGGTGGAGAGACGGCAACATGGAGGCGAGGAGGACAGGGTTTCCTGGCGGTGCGGGGGCCTGGACATGAGAGGAATTAATGTGAATCTTGTCCGCCACCGCCGCCCCCTCACACGTAAACACACACTCTATTTCATCTTCCATCTCAGCATTCAGCATATGTCCTCCTCCCTCTTTGTCTCCCACTCTCCCGCCCGCGTTTTACCCGCCGCTAATTTCTCCCTTATTTTCCGTCCAGAAGTGGGGGAAAGTTGTAAAGCTAATTAAGGAGCTGGGATGCGGCAGCTCGACAGATGTGCACCGAGATGGGTGCTATTGAGTAGCGGGGATAATGGTGTGTGGACCTGGTGGGCAGCGGGGTTGTGTTGGAGGGAGCTCCTACCTGGGCGTGCATGTTAATCAGCGCGCCTGTCTGTTGAGAGCCGGGGAATTAAGGGGGAAGGGAAGCGTGTCGCAAGCCTCCAGTGGAGAGACAAGGCTGGAAAGCTGATTAAGAGCACAAATGTACCAGTTTGATCTGGCCAGGTAGGTGTAGGAAGGAGGAAAAGGGCAAGAAAGGTGTGTATTGATTTACAGTGCTGCTGGTGGTGGAATTTAGGAAGAAAACGCTGGGTTGAAATCTACCTACTGTCGTCAAGCTAAATATTTCACAGCACTCCAAGGCATGACAATACTTCAAAGGCGAGAAAATTACAAAAATGGCCATCGTATATCTGCGGGGAGGCTGTGCATGTTTTTGATAAATGTTAATAACTTAATGATTTCTCGACCCCTGTCTGCATGTGAAAACTCACTTTGCCTTCACTCTGGACAAAAAACTCTCGCAGCCTGATGAATTTCATGACATTCACAGTCTCCTTGACGTCCGCACGCATTTTCAGCTGCTCAATAATGGAGGACAAAGCTCCATATGAGCCAGCAACATTGCAGTGATGAAAGCATTTGTCTTGTTTTCTTGCTTTTTGTTGCATTTTACATCAAATGGCTGGGATCTCCTGCTAGTCACTGACATAAAGCCACTAAGACAACCCATAAATTACTTGACATACTGACTGGGCCTTTAAATTGTCAATTCCATTTCGTTAAACTGTTCTTATTTAAAAGCATGAACATGTGCTACATACACGGCTATATTTAACTGATATAATGTGTGTTTACCACAATAATGTAATGGTGAATGCTAATCCAAAAATAACATTGTTAAATTGTAATCATCCATGATTGAGAAAAATAACCATTCATCTTATGAATTAAAAAGAAAAACTTGTCTTAGAATGTCCATCTCAACTGAATTCAAATCTAGAATTTGAAGCCATGACTTTGTACATTGTTCAAGTTTGAAGTTATTATCGGAGCTATTGAGAACAAAATTGCATTCCTTCAGTTCTACAATGGTACAGTAAGAACAGGTAAAATGTGAAAAGAAACGAGGTGAAAGACAGTAAAGTGCAAAGCAGGAATAAGTTGAGGACAAAATGTGCCGTCACACGTGTGAAGCCGGCCTCATTTCATTAAAAACACTTCAAAGCTCTTAAAAAGCGGATTATGATGTCCTACATTATAATTACAATGTGGGTCACTCCCGCTAACCCACCAATTAACCATGTGAGCACTGAAACAATTAGTCGATTACATGACTGACAGCAAATGGTCAAATATTTTCTTAATCAGCATATTTTTTCAGTCCCACTTCCTCCTTTCATCTTTCATCTCTGTTTTATATTATTGAAAGTGAAATAGGCCCTATTATGCTTTTGGGGTTTTCACTTCAATGTAGTGTGCTATATAGGTTTTCTCTCCAGAGGGAGTTATCACTATGTAACATTTGCACTCCTATTGTCTAACACATTTGACATGATAGACCAAGGCGCGGGACATCTCTAAGCGGTTGACCAATCACAACAGAGCCAGCCAGCTAACCAATCAGAGCAGACTGAGCTCTGGTTTCAGACAGAGGGTGAAAATAGGTGCAGCAGCACAGAAAAAAGAAAAAAAAGAGCTTTTTGAACATTAAAGCCTGTAAACATGTCACTGTAGAGCAGGGGTGTCAAACTCAATTTCATCGCAGGCCACATTAGCATTATGGTTGCACTCAAAGGGCCGGTTGTAACTATATAAATATACATATATATAAAATAATGTATTATATTACATTATTGCCTCTGAATTGGATTATTATTGAATAGGGTAATAACTTCGTAACTACGTCTGAAAGCAGAAGTCCAGGGCAAATCATTGCAAGTCTCTTCAAGTGTGCATGTCACAAAACGAGATGCATTGTGGGACATGTAGTTTATGGGCAACGTGCTTCTGTAAAGTGGCATGTAACCGTATAATAAACGTATTATAATCTTTGCAAGCTCTTGCGGGGCCACATAAAATGGAAGTCGCGGTCCGGAATTGGCCCCCGGGCCTTGAGTTTGACACCCGACACATCATAAGAGGGCCCCTTTAACACAATGGGATCATTTGATACACAAAATTATGATATTTCTCTAAATTATTTGTATTAAATAATAACACAGCCATAAAGGTTTGATGCAAATTAGCAAGATATTATGAATTAAAGAGGAACAAAAATGGAAAACAATCTAGGTATCTGAACTGCAAAAACAGCTTTACATTTTGAATTTCCAAATCAATTCTCTTAGCATTACATCAAGCACAGACAATAAAGAGCAATTGCTATCAAAAGTTCAATAAAGATCTTGGAAAAACAAATTATATCGAGAAAGTAAACAAAGTAGCTGTGTTTACTTCAAACAATATATTTATTGTATTATATCATTTAATATAATAGATTTATCTGTGACGGGAACACAAGGCCTCACAACTCCTGGCTCCCATTATAATTCAATAGAGATTTGCTTTAGTGACACCTTGTAAACAACACAAAAGTTCTTCACACGCGAGTGAATAATAATTCCCTCCTTTAAATAGATGCACAGCTTTATGCTTTCTTCCTCAGATATCTGCACGTTTTTAATTAGAATTATCTCCCTTTTCCCCAGCACAGCCTGATCTAATTTCTCCCGTAATTGTTGTTATTTACACAGTAAAGGTTTTTCACGGCTATTTATCGACATTTACTTTCCCAGATCTCTCTGTGTCTGTCGTCGATAATGAGTGGGGGAAATTATTTTTAACACTCAGTCATTATCTGCGTGTTCAAGTAGACTTCCTTTTAATATGCTAATACAGCTGATATAATCAGCCTGTAATTGTAAAACACTTCAAGTAGGCCTACGACACATTTTGTGGCACTCTCTCCTGAATGAAGAACTCACAGCCACAGTGAGCCGAGCTGCAGTTCCATGCACCCACGATCTGTTTATGTTCTTGGGAGACGTTGTGGAGGGAGCACCCGCCATCCGATCCTGCATGGCACCAATCCAAATCACACACATACTCCTACAGAAATGTGTAGGCTGTGTAAAAGCCCTATCGCTGTGTTAGTGAAACCACCACCACCCACTTCTCCAGCTTCTATCTTGCTTTTTCATTCCTAAAAATCCACCTTTGATTACCACTGATCCTCCCACACTGTTGGTGCATACCTGCATGCTATTCATGTCATAACATCTTAAATGAACCCCATTGTTTTAACATGCATTAAGCCAAATGATGAAAGAAGTGTTCTCCCCATGTCCTCCGGGGATGCTCGTGCTTTTTCCGCGGGAGAGGAAGGGATCCTGACTTTGTTTTTCTCCTTCGGCTCTTATTTCCCTGAAGAGAAGAGCCGAGTGAAGGGAGCTATGAGTGATCGACTGTGCCTTTATTCTCCGGGTTTTCGCGGGGATTTGAAGTTATTGAAAGTCTGGGGATGGGTGACAGCTTGGAGATGTCGGCGGCGTGATGCCTATCAGGGCGTCGTTGTGTGTTTGCGTGCGTGCACGTGCGTCCGGCCTCGCGGGCGGTGAGGCAGGGGGCACGCTGCTCCCATGTTCTCCAATACATATTATTCTGGCGGCCAATCATTTCTGCTCACACATGACATCTCTCCCAGATTGATTTCATTCAGCTGTAGAGGGCGGCAAGATCAAACAAACGTTGTCTGAAATAGCTACGGCGGCGCGGGGTGCAGGAGGGGGGGGGGGGTCAGGGGTGAAAGGTTGATGCTTGAAAGATGGAGTGAGGGATGGAGACGGCGAGAGAGAGAATCAGTCATCCAGGCAGCATGGTGACATGGTATGGCGGTGGAAGGTGCTCTATAAACCCACAATCCTTTTTCACAGCGGTGGCTTTTTTTTTTCACGCAGAGGTGGTGTCGGGGCCCTTATTCCTTCACGATGCCTCTGAGTACCCATGCAAGGAATAATGGATGCGTAATATGGAACGACAGCTTGCAGAGCACTATCATTAATGTTGTAATTCACTTTTAGTGTTTCTAGTATTGCGCTGCAACAGGAGGCACAGATGTCACCTGAATCTGCTCCTTCTAGGAGCCAGAGCACACCCGCTTTTCACCAGCTGTCTTGGAACGCACCATGCCAGCCCCCGTCGCCC